GCCGCAGCCGCCGCCGCCGCCGCCGCCGCCCGCCGCTCCCCCTCACGGGCCGCCGCCGCCGCCGCCGTTCCTGCCGGGGAAGGGCGGCCTGCAGATCCGGAAGAATGCCATCACGGACGACTACAAGGTCACCACGCAAGTGCTGGGGCTCGGCATCAACGGGAAAGTTTTGGAGATCTTCAGTAAGAAGAGCGGCGAGAAGTTCGCGCTCAAGGTGCGGAGGGGACCCCCCCCTTCCCCCCGCCCGCTGCCCCGTCCCGGGGATGGGAGGGAGGGACGCGGGGCCGGGAGGGGCCCCGGGAGCGGCAGCGGCGCCGCTGACAGTGATGGAAGGTGTCTGCTGCGGGGGAAGGGGGTCCCGGGGGGGCCGCTCGGCGGCAGCGGGGCCGGCCGGACAATGAGCTGCCGCCCGCCCCTCCGGCCGCGCTTTAATCTCATCTTCCCCCCCCCCCCCTCCCCCTATTGAGAGCAGCGAGATGTGGGTTTCCAGCTTTCCTAGCGTGAAAAACGAAGCGAAATGACATCTTTGGTAGCACGGCGGGGAGAGGGGAGGTGGTCTCGAGTGGAGAGGAGCCCCTGGCCTGGCTGGAATCACCCCCGTGGGATGCGCAGCTCGGGTCTGCGTCTCGAAATGTGGGGTCTGCATCGTGGAAATGGGGTTCCCTCCGTGGGGCTGTTCATAGCGTGTCCTGTAAGCACAGGAGCTGCCCCTGTCCCCGTTTGATGGCAGGTCTCTCCTGGCTGTAACACCGAGTGATTGTCATCCCCCCCTTCACACAGGGAATATTTAACAGCGTTACGATGTTGCCCTTTGCCCCTAACTTGCTTCTCTTTGAAAGACACGGAGAAACAGTGGCTGAAAAGCTGCGTTTTAGGTGATGCCACCCTCTCCTCGTTTTCACACGAGGTTCTTTGAGGAAAGAGAAGAGCGTGTCTGTCTGCAGGAGAGACTTTGGGAAGTTTGAATGGATTCACGACGCGCTGGGTGACGCGGGTACAGGCAGTCTGCTCAGCGGGAGCGCCGTGTTCTCCAGCATCCCTGCAATTTGCGCCCACACATGAGCTGTTCGAACCCTTGGCGTTACCCTGAGAACTGGGAAGGCTCAAAAAACCCCACCTAAACCCGTAACATCTCCCCCCCTTTTGTGTTTAGCGGTGCCCCTCTGTTGGTGTATGGAGTTCCTAACCTGAGTGAGTGAGTGAACACGGGGCTTTGGAGGCACAAGTTGTGCTGCAGAGGTGGTGGGGTCAGCCCGGGGTGGTACTGAGCACCTGTGGTTTAAGAGTGGGGGGCAGCTGGATGATAAGTTTGACTCTTCTGTCAGAGACGCCAGCATTTCTCACGAGCGTTGTACTCCAGGGCGACATGTATTGTCATCTTGTTGGGTTGGAAATTAGCGAAATCTTCTTCTGTTTTGACAGACGGGCTCCTCCTCGCCTCTGAAGTTGACTCATGTGTTTAAAGCACAGATCCCAGCACTTCCCTTTTGCAGGCCTGAAAGGGGAAGGATGGCACAGCAGACCGAGCGCCAACGGTTCCTCTGCCCAGAGGTCCGGGACTGGTGCTGTCACCCTGCCCGTGCCAGGGCATGGGTCAGGATTTGCTGCCACAAGTTCCTTGGCCTTGTTGAGAAGCGTCCTGGAGGGCAGGACTTCTTGCTGTGATGTAGGAGGGTGACACGGAGCATCTGCGCAGCTCTCCGGGGGTGAGGCATATTTGACACCGAATCCCTTTCAGGAAAAGGGATTGTCTTCCCTGTCCCCTGCCCCGGCCTCTTCTCACGTCCCTGACAGGGAGGGACAAGTTCAGCTGAGTGGTTGGACGTGTCCCTGGCTTCTCAAAGAGCAGCACAGCTGCTACTGTAAGTGATTCCTTCCAGCACCTTAAAAACTCCTACGCTGTGAGTTTGGGCGCTGGGACGAGCCAGTGGGTACCTGGTTTGTCCTCGTGAGGGTGAGCTGCACACTTGAGTTGTTTGATTGTATTATTTGGACCGAGCTGCCAAGCCCAAACTTGGTGTGGGTGACTGCCCTAGACATGATGTGTGCTGACTTCATCCCCTCCTCTGGTACGCAGGCGGGATGATGTCTCTGCAAGAGACCTGTGGAGAGGTATTTGGGTCCAAATTACTCATGGGCTGCATCAGAGTGGAAAGATGACCTAAAGCAGGATCCCCAGAAGTGATTGCATCGAGTTGTCATGTTTCAGATGATGCTTAAAAGAATCCTGATGGCCCATTGCCAGGAGCCACAGCTGAAATCTGTCTGCTGCCTGCTTTGGTTGTGCAGTGAACCTTTCCATTTGGAACGTCAACTCTTTACATTTAATATTTCGGAGTCTTGTATAACACTGGAATCCTCCACTGGAGGATGAGACACAGTTTTGTCTCTCCCTGATGTTAGTGGTATCTTCTGGTTGTGTTGTGCTTCCTCTTGGGTCACGAGCAACTATTATATTGTTAAAACTCCTTCTCCTAAACTGAGAGATGCACTTAGGTAAGGGTTTCGTTGAGAGTCACTTTGCTTAAGAGAACTTTTCAGTGCTTCAGGAAAGCTGAAGAGAGCTTGGAGACAGTGTTCTAACAGCAGTGAAAACATTAAGGCCAATTTTCTTCTCCTTCCAGTGCAATAGTCCATGGCAGAGACGCATCATTAAATAAAATGATGCTCTGTGTGAGTTAATGGATGGCACTTCTGCTTTCTTTGCAGTCCCCAGGTGAAAACGAGAGATTCCTTTATTTTTCTTGTAGATTATTGTTTATTTTTCAGTTTCCCACCCCCTCAATTCTATTTTATTTTATGGTACCAAGCAATACCTGAAGTGTGGCATCCCTGAATTATCTGCTGTGAAGCAGCCACTGATGGTCCCAGTCACCCATGACCTGACCCCGTGTGATGCACGATGATCTGCTGCAGGGTGGGAACATAAAGCCCGTGGAGAAGTGATGAATGGAACTGAAACATGAGGTCTCAGTGATTCCTTACCCCTTTTTTCCTTGTACCTTGGTGTGATTTATTATTAGGCAAAATCAGGCTTGTAATTTCTGTCGAGGCTGCTGGATGTAGGTCACTGCTGGCCTGACTTGGTGAGATTTGCTGTGGTCAGGCTGCAGTGGTGGGGCTGGGAGTGAGGGCTGTCTCGCCTGCTGCAAATTCCACTTTTAAGACTAATCTTTAGGCAAGATGCCGAGTTGGTGGCTGGCTGCCTTAATTCAGCGAGGAAATCACAGGTAAGCCAGGCTGGAGAGTGGGGAGTACTCGTGGCAGCTCGGTGGGGCATTTCATGGAGCAGGTTGCCTTCAAAACAAATTAACAAACCTCACTCCTGACCTCAGCTTCAAAGCAGGAGATCCTCCCCTGGGTTGGTGAGCTTTGGAAGGGCTGGAAGAGCTTCTCAGGGCTCATGAATTTGCCCCTCTCTGGCAGCCCCGTTTCTGGAGCATCCTCGGTGCTTTGGGGCACGTTTGCGAAACACTCTCAGTCTCACTCTCAACCTCATCAGATAATCTGTGAGTGATGGCTCCTCTGATGGAGAAGGAGGAAGGAGGCCGGTGCTTTCGTGGTTTATCATTCTGGTAAGATGCCTGTGGTGGAATTAGGGCAGGTCTTGGAGCTGATAACTGAGCAGTTCTGTGGCCGAGCGAGCTCATGGAGCTGGTGGCCTCGTGCTCCCTCTCCCACCGTGGGGAGAGGTTTCTTACAGAGGTGTTGAGGGGAGCAAAGAGCCCTGTTCCCTGCAGCTCTGATTGAGATCAAATGCTTTGTCCCCCAGAAAATCCAGCTGGGAAAATATCCCTGAAGTGAAGGAGTAGGTGAAGATCCTGAGCTTATATTCATGGAAAACAGCTCACCGTGTGTTTGCTGTACTTCTGTCCCTCTCTCAGTGGGAAGATTTTTTTTTTTTTAATTAACTCTACCATGTATTTAATATAATCAGAAATGTCTTCACTGTGGCCTTCTGTGCAAGCTGTGGTTGAAAAGCTGTGGAAAGTGTGGTGACATCACTGGGACTTTTCCAAAGCAGCGGTTTATTATCTCATTGACCAAAGGAGTCTACTGACTTGGGGTTTGAGTTTGTTTAAAAAATGTAGGATTTGCCATAATCCCTTCTAAATACTTTACATGTTCTGAGCAGTCAGACCTGAGACTGCCATGGGCTGATAACAGCCTGGGAGCAGGGGCTTGCTTTTCACTTTGGTACGTGCTCAGGAAGTGGTGGGGCTCTTCCTCTTAATAATAATCTAATGCCATCAGCCCCAGGTCCTGCAAAAGAAGTTTCCCATGTTTTCAGGGGCGGGGAACTGAGATGCAGTGATTTACTGAAGGTCTTGCAGCCTGTCAGAGGCGACACAGGGCTGAGGAGCTGAGCTGCTGGCGTCCTGCTGGACACAAATACAGCCCCTGTGTGTATGTGATTTAATAGCCAAGTACAGCCAGGTAAAAGGGTGATTTTTGTCATTCACACTGAACTCCCATTTGTGCTGTCAGGAGAGCCCAGTGTATAGGACAACACTGGCCTGTGGGGCTGTGGAGGTGGTGGCTCTGCCTCAGGTAGCGACCGGCGCAGAGCAGGCACTGGGATTTATCAGACACGTGCTCCAGAACATTCAAAACAGTGTATAAAGAATAATTTGAAGCTGTGCAGACTGGGAGCCAGGTCTCCTAGCGAGCTTGGTGGACAATGGGTAGGCACAGGTGATGAAAACTCCCAGAAATTTCCTGCCAGGGAAGCCTGAAAGAGCAAGTTGATGACCTCTCTCTTCCCAGAAACATCCAGGATGTGCTCTGGTATCTGATGAGATGGGTGAACTCTTGATGGCTCGAAGGGTGGTGCAGGTTATGTGGGAGGCATCCAGAGGAGTGGCCGGATTGGAAGTGGCTGTTGAGCCATCCCTGTGGCACGGACAGCAGTGTGACTTCGAGTTTATGATCTGGCATCTCCTGAGCCTTCCCGGTGGGCTCGCGTGCCCCATACCAGGGTGGTCTAAGGGCTTTGCAGCAGAGACAGCAGCTAATGCTATTTTCCAACCCATCCTTTTGCTGTGGTTTTCACTGTCTGCTGAGAAGCTGAGAGGAAAGAACCCTCCTTCATTAAGAAACCCTTTCCTCCCCCTAGCTCCGACCATAACTGGCTCCCCGACCTGCAGGCGGCCCTCGCTGCAGAAGTCAGGCTCCTCTCCAAGCACAACTGGCCCCGCGCGTCTGGCCTCAAGT